TTGTTCTGCCACTAAAGCCTATGAGAGAAGAGGAACGATAGTAAAGGTGCTCTTCAACATGTGTACCATAACGAGAATGTTAGACACTTACCAAGTTTAGAGTTCCGAGCATGACGTTGAGCGTGTTCATCTCTGGTTTGACAAGCTGTTGTCGGTTTATTTTCACTTTTACACAATAACTGAACAACTTCAGCAAAACCTAAAAAGACACGAATCAGCTTTGAATTAGACCACATGGGGACTGACCACTTGGATCATTTTGTGAAAAATTGGCCATATTTGGACATAGGTAGCCCACTTTTAAGTGCAGAGCGCATTTGTTGACTTGCTTAAACAAAGGGAATCTAACCCGGCAACATTTTATAGCATAGTTCAGTCTCCCATTGCATTGGAAGCGCAACGGCGGCTTACTGTGAGCAGATGACGACCCTGTTTAAAATCTTTGATTCCTGATAGCCGATTGAGCATGCACTCCAGTCCACCACACTGTGCCATGACACCTGCCATCTTGTACACCTCTTCATCATCTTCCTCCTCATCTAGACAAAGAGGAAGGAGAGACTTTTTTTAAAACTTGGTTGTGAAATGAACATCCATAGACTAGTTAATGGTTCAAGCGTGAATAAAAGGATTTGATGAAGACAAGCAAGGAAGACTGGCAGACTATAATAGACAAGTAATAGAACCTGTGGTCGAGTCCAGCGACTCTATGAACTCCTCCGTTGCATCGCCCAGCAGACCTCTCATTCGATAAATGATTCTCATTGGCTCACCCTTGTAAAAAGGAAGGGCAAAGTGACATTGATGACCATCTAAACTATTTCACATATACAATATAAAGGCTGAGTCATTCACCTCATTTGTGGGGCACCACACCTTCTTGTAGACTTCAGCGACAGACAGATCCAAGCTAATGATTTTGTTGTTCACCAGAAGCTGAGGAAAAACAAAAAGACATACAATGTGTTTCTTGCAATGACTTAGCTTGATGACAAGAAGAGGTGAGGAGTAAGAGAAGGACATATTGAAATGACAATCAAGGTTCAGATTCATTTTACCTCCATGCCACTATCATCTTCAAGGAGTGCCACCAGGTCGCAGTCTTGGCAGATCTTGTTCTTAATGTCCCTCATAAGGGGGCCGATGCCTGGCTCGTTGCTACTGTAAGGGTTTCCAGGCATGCGACCTTGAAGGAAATCCTCTTGCTGGGGATCTTTTTCCAGGGTTACAAAGAACTCTGTCACCTCGTTTTCCTCCTTTAAAAGAAGAAAAGTGACATAAGTAATTAGTCTGTTAAATCATATATCTAAGTGAAAAAAAATCTGGGTTAGAGTTAACTTACAGGATAAATGATGCTACACAGTCTCTCAAAAATGAACACAGGTGTTCTGTAGTCATCCAAATTGTATCTCTTCGCAGTCTCAATGCACACTGCCATGAAAGCCTTCGTTTCAGACTCGGTGCCTACAAACAGAACAAGATAGCGTGAAGAACAGAAGTTACAACAGCCATTGCTAGACTCCGTGCACGCTTTAAACGCAATAGTTAAGATTTCACTTCAGCTGACCCGTGGTCATGTCCTCCAGCATCTCCAGCAGCATATCCTGAGTCTCATCGATGAGTTTGGTGCGCTGCACCACCAGCTTTCTCAGACACAGATAGCCGTTCAGCACTGTGCCAACCAGACGGCTCTTAAAATGCCGCTTAATGGACTCCACCTCCACAAATGATGATAGTAATCCTGCCATGACAACACAATTTTATTAGATAATTAAAGAACAATTCAAATCTATGATATCGTTTGTTTCAAGACTGCATACCAGTAAAGCTCTTGAGGGCATAGCCCTGCTGTAAATCTGTGCTCAGCGTCGCCTCCTCCAGGGCCAGCAGGTTGGCGATTTCCTGTGGGAGGCAATTGCACATAAAACCTTGAAATAATTGCACAACACACGCTTTTACTGGCACAGATGACTGTAAACATATTTCACAGCGGGCTAGCAAACAGCGGTTGAAGCTGTGCAGCGGCTGAATCACTTTGTTGAGCTCAAACAAATGCACTGCATGTGGTTGATTTGAGAGAACATTTCTAAATCAAGCTTGACCTTGGTGATGAGATTGCCAATGTAGGGCAGGACTCCTCGTGCAGCCAAGTAAACCTTCCAATGTGTTGGTTTGATGAGCTTTTGGTAGAGACCAAGGTACTCTGCTGCACACTCTCCAGCCAAACTCAGCTCATCCAGGTAACTGACCGACACAAAACAAACAAACAAAAACAGTCACACCACACAAGACTTTCCTGCTGGCTATTTAAGACTCACGATTGTGAGAGTACAGTTACCATTACATAGTCATTTTACATATGCTGACCGTAATTTAACAGCATGTACCACCTTAATTGTTCAATGGGTTTTACCTTGTGAGCAGGCCCAAGACTTGTTGTTTGCGGCTGGGGATTGTCGTGAGAGCCTCCACAATTGTGCAAGCTGCCTGTCTGGCGGCCTGAGTGGCAGGGGTGAAAAGGACCTGCAGCAAGCAAAACACATATGTCAACTGATTTCTAGTATGAGTGGATTTCTGAATCTCGCAGAACACAATTTGCACATTTTTATCTACCTGCCGCAGCCAATTGTTGTGGCTCAGCCTGAGCAGGCGAGGGAAAAGGATTTCTCCTCTTCTGGACCTCATATACTGCTTCCATTTCCACACATACTTCTCCATCAGATACTGTTTTCGCAGTTCACCTTTCCCCTGCGGTTTTGTTACCATCTCATGGCCTTTTGGGCCCACAAATTGGCAAGAGCATTGGAGAGAAAAATGAGTACTCAGCTACATTGACATGTTTGCTATTTCTCTGGACAACACTTACATCTTGCAGGGAGGCATTTTTTCCAGGCCTCATATGAAGCTTTGGGATCCTTCTTGAGCCACATTTGGGCCTGAGCATGGATTTCATTACTGTAGGGCCTAACGGTGGTCAGGGATTCGGTAGCAGCATCCTTTAAAAGATGCATAGTTAGATGTAATGGGTTGTGGCCCAAGTTGGCATACTTTGAAATTAGATTTTTTCTTCAAACATTGTGCAATTCACCGTAATGATACATCTTGCAAAGCGGTCATTTTCTATATTGTTCCACATCAATTATCTCCCATTAACCTAATAAGCACATTTTAATTGACCCTAAGGCAAATGCAAAGCCCCAATATGATTACTCAATATTCACCTTGTTCTTCTTGCTAGTGGGGGCAGGGGGTTTGATCAGCTTCTGCAGGATTTTCAAGCACATGAGAGTGATGTTCTCCACCACAACGGGAGTCTTGATGTTAACCGACATGAGGAACAGACTAAGAGCTGAAAAAAAAGGTTGACAGTATAGATTAGAAAAGACGAATAACTGACTGCAAGTGACGTAAAAATGTATGAACTGAAATGTATTCGTTCATGCTTCAAAGTAACTCAGCCACTTACCACAGCGCAGCCGTAACTCCCAGCATCCTCCCTCTTTTGAAATGGAATCAGTTAAGAGCAGCATTTCATACTGAAGATTACTAACCTGTTGTAAAAAAAAAAAAACAATCTTGTCAAATATATACTATAGCTTTCAGGCCCACAAGACAGAAGCACAATACAGATGCATGGCTTTGACAGATAAAAGCACACAAACCAGGTCAGGATTGGCCCAGTGACCTTTGAGGGCTGCCGAAACCTTGGCAATGATAAGGTCATTCATCTGCTGAGTGGCTTCAGGGTGATCTCTTTAAAAAAAAAAAAAATGCTTACATGAGCAGAACCGTTACAAAATGGAAACAACTCATAACGTAATAAGCATCAGGCAGGTTAAGGGTGGCGGACTAAAAACCTGCAATATTTAAGTAGGCCGCACCTGGTAAGTAAACAGATTAGCTGGCGTACTTCCTCTCGCATGGCAGCAGTACCTCGGC